GTAACATACACGCTCTCTTCTTTTTCTTCTTTTTTATTTCTTTTTGTTCAAGGGAAACACACACACACTCTGATTCCAGTTCCAGAATCAAGATCATCATTACATAGCTATATAAAGAAAAAGAAGAAGAAGAAGAAGAGGAAAAAGACCAATTACTTATTGGGAAAAACATTTTTGCAAAGAAACTACTAACTGCTTAGACTTAATTTTCTTGCATCTCTTTCAAACAAGGGATTTATTGGTAATGTAGTTTTGGATGTGGATGTACAATTTCCTGCTAAAATAGTTGGACTGCAAATTAATGCATATTATAAAACTGTGAATAGAGTGTGAATTTGTACAAATTTTAAAACCTTGATGATGTCATTTAACAATAAAACCACATTGATGATCAGGTTGCAAAGATGAAGGCAGAGTACATACCACCTAGAGAAGATGTTGTGCTACAAAACGAAGTGCCGGATGATGTTTATATCATTGTTTCTGGAGAAGTGGAAATAATTGGTTGTGAGATGGAGAAAGAACTAGTTGCTGGGACTTTGAAATCTGGAGACATGTTTGGAGAAGTTGGTGCACTTTGTTGTAGAGAAGTTGGTGCCCTCTGTTGTAGGCCTCAAAGCTTCACATACCGAACCAAAACACTGTCACAACTCTTGAGACTAAAAACCACTGCTCTGATTGAAGCAATGCAGACGAAACCAGAAGACAAACTACAAATGCTTAAAAACTTCAAACAGGTTGGTGAACATGGTACTCAAGTTAAATCTTCTTTGTAATAATTCCATTATTATTTCTTTTAAGAAAAGGAAAAGAAGGAAATGACTTACAATCTGCAATATGTTCCACTGAAGCATCACAAAAGGCTGAGGGATCTGAAAATTGGAGAAATATTGGCTGAGAGTGGAGATGAAGAAGGTGACGCAAACGTGGCATTCAACTTGCTGACTGTTGCCAGCAAAGGCAATGCTGCTCTTCTTGCTGAGCTCCTCAAGGCAAAGTTGGATCCTGACATCGGAAACTCCAAAGGAAGAACTCCTTTGGTATGGATTTTTAGCCTCAAGTATTTAGTTTGTTTGTTAATGCCAGACGAAAACAAAGAGAAAAAAAACAGAACAAGAAGAGCAATATGGAGAAGATAATTCCCTTTTTACTTTAGAAAGTGAGCTAGTACTTCATCATTTTTATTAATTTGAAAAGACTAATTGTTTCTTTTGAATGCATCAGCATGTAGCAGCATCAAATGGGCACGAAGAATGTGTCTTGGTACTCCTCAAGTATGGTTGTAACATACATGTAAGAGGTAATTAAAAATAATAAACACAATCTCCTTGGTACTGTTCTGTTCTTAAACCCATCATCTTATAATCTGTACATTGGCAGACATAAATGGCAACACAGCTTTATGGGATGCTATTGCATCAAAGCACCATTCCATATTCCGGATTCTCTATTACTGCGCTGCCATATCCAATCCATACACGGATGGTGATCTTCTATGCACGGCTGCCAAGAGAAATGATATGACTTTGATGGAGGAACTCCTGAAGCATGAGTTAAATGTTGACGCAAAGAATCATCTTGGGAAAACAGCAGTACAAATAGCCATGGAAGAAAACAATGCAGACATGGTCAATTTGCTAGTGATGAATGGAGCAGATGTAGCCAATACACACAACTTCTCATTTCCTTCAGAAACCTTGACTGAAATGCTACAAAAACGAGAGGTTGGACACCGGATTACAGTTCCAGACACTACACTAAATGAAGTGCCTTTGATAAGGTATGATGATGAGCAAAATCCTGACTGGAGAAAATCCAATCGAGTGAACTTTCCAAGAGTGTGCATATATAGAGGCCATCCTATAGTGAGGAGAAACACATGTTGCATGGAAGCTGGTAGGCTAATTAGATTACCTAATTCGATAGAGGAGCTCAAAAACATTGCAGGTACTTTTCTGAACACTATGCCTTTATCAATTGCTAAAAGATTGTGGCTTCTCTCAAAGCCAAGATACCTAGCAGAACATGGTAACATACTGCATGATTTATTCACAAATTAGTGCTTATATATGCAGTGCGGATAGTACACAAACCCTTACAGTTTTAGTAGCACAAATTTTAGTCTATAGCATGTTTCTTGTTTCAAAATATTGTATCTTTTACCACATTTTTCTTATCAAAGCGATTAAGGCAGTTTTGAAATTTTATCCTGTGTATATTTGATTTTGTGGTAGCTATGGATGCTTAGAATTCTATACACAAATTGGAATTAATATATATTTGAAGAACGTTGTAAGAATTCCTAATATCTTTCATCATCTTAAACAGGTGAAAAGTTTGGATTTGATTCAAGAAATGTATTGGTAACTGATGAAGGAGGAGCAGAAATTGACTCCATTGAAGTGATCAGAGATAATGACAAGCTTTTCGTATTTGAAGACTCAAAGTCTATCAAAAGCTGAAAAATCCTCAATCTCCTGAAGCATTATACTTAACCTTGAGGAAGGAAAGAAAGAATCGCACTTTTCTTCATGCAAATCTCTTGTAAAGATTCCTCTTAGAATGTACACTTAAATCTTGCATAATCAAAGTGTGAGACTAGGAGTCTCAGTTTAATTTTTATGCACAATGTAATACATAAGGCTAAGGCGGGCTCTAGCCTAGTGCAAAGTTTGGGAAAAAGAACTCCAGTATTAATTTTTAGGCATTACAACCCATTTCACAGAAAATTAGTCTATCTCGTAATCAGTTGAAGCTTCAGAGTGTTGAGATACATGACTTCTTGCTTGGCAGTTTTCTTGGGATCAAATCTCTTTGGTGCAGATATCTTCTCACCACGATTCTGAGAAGCATTCACAATATGGAGCTCAATCTAGCATAGCAGTAAACTATAGTCTCAGATTCATCCATCCTAAGACTTTCAAACTGTTCTGTATAAAGTTGAACTGTTCATTGGATACAATTATGAACAAGGCATTTCCGTCTTTTCTATTGGCAATGCTGTGAGTGGCATACTCCAGTATCCATTCCAAATAAGGCGGAGGTACATTCTTCTCATGTCGGAAACTTGACAAAATAAAAAATAATATATAATGAGTGGTCCCACTATTAATAACATCGAGGCATTTTCCTTATCAATGACCATGATACTAATTTAGAGCACAAAATCTCTCTAGATACCGTAGGAGCTTGGCTCTGATACTAGTTGTAAGTGATGGATGGATCAATACCCCTTGAGCCTATGAGGGGGATGAATAGGCTCTTACACAAAAAACAGTTTTAAACTAGTTAGCAGGTGTTCAAACAAAGGGGCATTTTGACAAATGTTGGAACAAATAGCTCTACTATAACAGGATATCTTTCTGAACCAAGATTCACACAAATCTAAACAAGTGGATATAACTGTGAATGGATCCATATGAAGTTCATCATCATGATCAATGGTAAATCGAGAAATAGAGAACATAACTACTGTACACAAGAAGATCTGGTCACTCATATTACTTGGTTTTGAACCCTAGCTACTCCTTTTTTTAGAGGAAAATGGATTTCATTCATAATCTAATAGTTTCATACAAAAGATCAGCATGAACAGTGGTCACGTTAAAACCTTCCTAGGAAAATCACGTGGGAAAAACCTCAGGGTATGAAAGAGTACTACACATGCCACGGACTAACAGAAGAGTCCAAAACAGAACCAAACAAAGACCACTAATATAAACAGAACCAACTACCACACTACTAAAAAACCAACATAAGAGACCCCGCAGAAGAGCACACCAACGCATCCCAAACTGTCAAAGAATGCCTTCTATGAGAACAATCATAGTCCTTTATACATTGCAAGAGTTATTCAGCAAGCCAAGGGTCAGAGACACAAAAACACACAAAGAAGAGAACGCAGAGGAGGCAACAAAAAAGGACCACACAAAAGCACACTATCTCATCCTAGAACCTGTCAAAGAAAACCTCCTATGATAACAATCATAGTCCTTCGTACAGCGTAGGAATTAATCAGCATGCAAAGAGTCAACAACAGGAGAAGAATCACAATGAGCAAAACAAAGAAGACAAATGAAGAGAAACTCTCAAGGAGCACACCAACGCTTCCCAAAACTGTCAAAGAAAACCTCCTATGAGAACAATCATAGTCCTTGAACCCTAGCTACAACTTAAAAGGCTATACCTGCTAGGCTTTTGCTCCTTTTGGGCATGGTCTATCCTAGGAACGACCTATCACTTTAGAATCATTTGAGACATGTGCAAGCTTTATAATATTCCGTTCCATAATCAATTTAGAATGTTGGGTACCAGAAGAGAAACAAATCTGTGTTTTGAACATAAAACTAGTCTCGATACACAAAATCCATTCATCCATTTCCTTTTCAAAAGTACCAAACAAAAATAAAATACAGCTTAAGTAGGAAAAGAAAACAAAAAAGGTGCCATGTTGGGAGGTGTAGAAAAATGGGGAAGAGAAGAGGTAAAGAAGCCAAGAGCACTCAATCCAAAAGAGAACCAAATCAAAATGGAAGAATGTGAAGAAGAATCTCATTCAAAGTGGTCAAACTTTACAGCGTAGGAAGCACAATCCAACATCTTGTGTGATAAAGAGTTTGAACTTTTTGGTTTTTTTTTTTTTTTTTTTTTTTTGGGTTATCTTTTCATATCCTGCCTATGACATTATGGCCGGACCAAAACATAAAGCCTTACGAAGGTTACAAGAAAAGAAGGAAAACCTACAACATAACCTTTCTTGTTAATTTGAAAGAAGATGAGGGTGAGAAAGTTAGGAAAGTTGATAAAAACAGATTAAATCTAGAATGAAATCAAGTAAGAAAAAGTAAAATGAAGAGAAGTTGACAAACATACTCCTAAGTTTTCTCTTTCTTTCTCTCTCTACATATTTCTTTATTTATTATATTATATGCCCACTTAACCATGAAGCAGAAGATATTCCCAATCATCCCCTCCACTCCTCCCTGTAGGAAACACCCATAATTTCACCAAACAACATTATTAACCTATAGAAACTTGAGCTCTTGAAGCAACCCACTTCTTTCATTGCTTATAATTTTCTTCTTCTTAAAATATATACCTATAAATGTACATCTTACTCTCACCACCATACCAATATCCTTTCTTTTTCTTTATCATCTTTATTCCATGATGGATCCTTCATGCACCTCAACTTCTGTCAGTGGCTTCTACAACTTTCTCACTCATGAACTCAACAATCTTGATCAATCTTTCCTCTCCCATAGTTTCATGTCAATCCAATTCCTTCAGAAGGTACTCTCATCTCTCAAGTCCTTCCATTCTCAGTTGACCACTTTGGTTCAAAAGCTTCACTTACCCATAGGAGAGAAGTGGCTCGATGAGTACATGGATGAAAGCTCCAGGCTCTGGGAAGCCTGCAATGTTCTTAAATTAGGAGTCTCTTGCATGGAAAATGTTTTCGCAGCTGGAGCCAATGTCCTGTCCTCCACAGATGAGTTCCACTACCACTTGAATGAACAAACTTCTAACCAGGTTAGTACAATGTAGTCAATTTAAATTTTATAAAAAAATAAAAAAATTTATTCCACTACATATACATATAGGAAACATATGCATGGGTAGTGCTGTCTTACATATTCATGTTGCCAGACATGCTTATGTTGTTAAAATGTGAATCTGAACGATGTATATGAATCAACCTAATGCTCACTTTTTTGCCTAGGTTATCCGGGCAGTAAGTGCATACCAAATGGAAATTATTGGTTTGGAACATGATAATAAGGCCTTGATGGAAACAAGAATTGAGCAGCTATCACTACGCATCAATGAAAACATTATCTCAATGGGGTCCAAGTTCAATGGGTTCAGTGGCTTTCGTGGCGTCATGTATGCAATGAGGAACGTCAGCTCATTGCTTTTGATGATCCTGCTAAGCGGGATTGTATATTATTTGCCAGGATCAAGTTTTCAAAAGGAAGGAGGGCTGGAAGGCAGTGTGATATTTGGCTCAAATTTCATGGTTTCGGTAGCAAGATTGCAGCGAAGAGTGGCTAATGTGTTCGAGCAGATCCCTGGGCCGCCTCATGGATTGCTTCTTCATGAGTTCCAGGAAACGAAATCTGCGATGGAGGAGGTGAGAGGTGAGTTGGAGAGAATGGTGGAGCATGAAGCAGAGATTCATGATATCCAAGATAGGGTCGACAAGTTGAAAAGTTGCTTTGGGTTGTTGAGAAGTGGGGTTGAGGCTATAATTGAGCAGCTTGATGACTTCTTTGATGAAATAGTGGAGGGAAGGAAGAAGCTTTTGGACATGTGCACTCATAGGTAGACAAAGAGTACGTTGGACGTGATCAGCCTAAGCTAGGTGGGGAACATATGGAAACAAAAGAAAAAGGAAATGATAAAGAGACAGAAGGGTAATCAGTATTGAAAAAACATATTTTGTTGAACTTGGATATGAGCTCCTTGATTGTAATCGATTGATTTCCAAGTAGTCTATATAAGGGGAGATTTAAACTTAAATAGTTGTTAGAATGTGGTCCAATATGATTTAAACTACTCATGCACCTATTTCGTTTCCCATGTACGTAAATAGTACGAGCACGCCTCCTCACATGTGAATCAAGCTAAACACGTAGAGAACACATATTATGGTTTCGATACTCAAAACCAAAATTAATTGGCAATAAGTGAAGATACTCAAAATCATTTAAACTACTACTAGTGCACGGGTTTCATTTACTCTTAACAATAGTTAAACACAAAAGTTCATATTATTATTACTACTTATACTTTGATTTTCAATGCACGAGTTAGATTAAAGACCAATTGAAAGGATTTAGATACTATAAGTTGTCACCAATTTCTTTTGTTGCTTTCTTTTCCCTTCTTCTTTATGCTTTTTATGCTTTCTTTTCCTTTATGTACGGAGGCAGTAGCAATAAATATTAATGAAGCACTGAGAGAGCATTTTCTCAAGAAACCCCAAAGGGGAAAATTCTTACACGAAAACAGCATGTGATTCTTGCTTTGAAGATAAGCAATATACTATGGAAAGATAAAAACACGAGGAATGTTTAGGTCACATCAGCCTAATGAAAAAAAAGCAAGATTTTCCCATCCTAAAGGCATATTCTTCTCCTATAGCGACCAAAAAGATAATACATGATAAAATGATAATGATGCTTCTTGTTTCCCACAAGACCAAGAAGCTATGCAGAAATTTCAAGTACTGTTTGTTTAGCATTTATATACATGCTTGAAGTTGATGAGAAATTGAGAATCTTTGTTAGGAAATCACACCATTAATCTACTAGATTGAACAAGTGCAAAATAATATAAGCACTATCAACAAACACAAAAGTACAGAAATCACAACCACCTCAGGTTGTGGTTTGTTTTAACTCGTTCGATCCTGGCTCGTAAAAGAAACTAGCCAAATTAAGCCATAGCTCCATGAACAAACTTGAGCTCAGCTTGGCTCAGTTCATTTACACCACTAACTGGGGTGACCAGGTGGGGAGGTGGGGAAGGAGAACCTGGGGAGTATTTTTTATCTTATTTCTTGAATGTTCTTAGTTTTATACCTAAATTCAATCTTTTTAAGCAGCAATTTTTTATTATTTTTTTCTTTTGCACATGTGGCGTCCATGTGTCATACATATAAGGAACAAAATGAGTCTCTTGCGTGCCAAGTCAGCATCTTGAACAGAAATTCTAACGAACTTGAGTAAAGCAGGACAGCAAAATTTGATTTAGGAGTAAGTAGGATCAATATCACTTCTAGGGAATAAAATGAGATTCATGACATCTTTCTGAGTACTAGAGTAATTGCCTTTGGAAAGATGAGATGGTTGAGTTGAACGTTACTCAAAAATATTGTAACTAGGCATATCTAGGATCCAAAATTGCCTTAACAAAAACAATTAAGAACTAAGGAAATTATTAGACCTCATGCACATGATCTTGCATACTGGAAACGCCCGCCGGACCAAAAGCGAACCAACTCTTTCAACTGCATGTAAAATCCATGGTGCAGAATACAAAAAAGCACAAACTTACTTCCCTGCAAGAACAAAAGGCATATTGCTTAATAGAAGCAAAACATCAAAAAGATTGTGCACATAAAAAGTCTGTTCTAATTGGTCTAGATACATGATGTAATATGCGAAAATAGGCCTCCTTGCGGCTTAGTGAGTATGCAACAGAACAAGGAAAACTGACATACGTATTTCCTTTTCTAAGGGCAGTGAAAATCAGAGAATAATGTAGATTATAAATTTGCAACCTACCTCTAGCATATAGAGCTAAAACTAGAGAACTTTCAGACAGGAATTAGAAAGTCACCCCATAGGATTTTCTGTTTTTTTTTTCTTTTCACTAAAGGGTTGCTCAAAACAAAGACAAGGCTAATCAAAATTGATGTCATATGTCTGAGGTACCTCCAAATATCTCAGCGCCTTTGGGTTTTTCCAATTGATCGTTTTCCAGAGAACAAGTGCTTTGGTTTTAAAGTGGGAATCACTCTATCTGCCTCTCCACGGCGAGCATCCTTGTTTCTCTTCTTAACAGATTTTTTGGCCTTTCTTAGCGCCTGGGACTTTTGAGAAGAGTCCTTGAAGCCCTCACCAGGGACAACTTCACTTGGAGGCCTTGATCTTGACCTCGAACGGGATCTAGAAATCATTCGCAGCTTCTTGTTGGGTGTATCCACATCCATATCCATGGCATCCCCTAAGCCAGGATCACCCCTGTCACCTGATCTCTCCCTCTTCCGGCCCCTCCTAGGGACAGATCTGCTGCAGGCTCGGTTAATTGCCATTCTAAGATCAAGCCCCAAATCTGATAGCTGCCTCCCCATTCTCTTTGACGTGAACTTCCTGTCCTTGTCAAATTTCCTTGGTACAGTTGGTCGACTCTCAGCCGTACTTTTCTTCATCCTATGTTGTTGAATGAGCAAGCTTTTCTTTTTCCTTATCTCGACCAATGTCTTTTGCTCTTCTGGAGTCAATTCCATGTCATCCATCTCAAACTCATCATCGCCCTCCTCTGCCTCTCGTTTCAACTCCTCAAGCCTATGCACAATGTCAGGATCAACAAAGTCATACACATTGTGCCCATCAAGAATTTCTGGCATGACATCCTCTTTCCATTCATCATTAGCTAAGATATAATTCTTCTTCAAATTAGCAGAGTACACACCTGCACCACCATTCTCATTCTCCAAATCCTTTTCCGTGTTTCTCTTTTCCTTGTCCCCTACTTGCTTGGGCTTAGCTTCTGAAACTGACTGAGGTATACATGGAGGCCTTTCCTTCTGGTCACGTGGCTGTGGCATTGCAACATGAAAACGATTTACGAAGTTATTTATCTTTTGGGATTTCATCTTCAAATCCACTCTCTGATTCAATAACCTCTCACAAGCTGCATTCTTTACAGAAATCACCCCATCCTCAGTCAAAGTGCTCATGGTTAAGAGTACCCCCTCATCACTTGTAGCCTCACCTCCTAGACCAATCACTGTCTTCATTGCTTCAGATTTCATCTCCATAACCAACTTCATGTCTTCCTCAGATATACCCTCCAATGGCTGCAAATCAGTCTTGTTGCAGACTATTATCAATGGTTTGTTCATAAATAGAGATTTAATGCTGTGAAACAGAGCTGCCTGCTGGGCAATGCTGTACCCACAAGACCCCGAGATGTCCAAGAACAACACAGCAGCAGCTCTCAAATGCGCCAATGTTGTGATGCTGCACATCTCAATAATGTTACGATCTTCAAATGGTCGGTCCAAAATCCCTGGTGTATCAATTACCTGGTACCTCAAGAATTTGTAATCTGTATGTCCCACAAAGAGTGACTTTGTGGTAAAAGCATAAGGCTGGACATCCACATCAGCCCTAGTGATCTTGTTAATGAATGAGCTCTTTCCAACATTCGGATAGCCACAAATCAGTATAGTACGGATATTTGGGTCAATTGAAGGTAGTCTTGATATGTGTTGCCTAATCTATTCTAGGTAAGCTAAACTAGGGCCAATCCTCTTTACAACCGTGCACATGCGGCCAAGAGCAGCAACCTTGAGACACTTACAGCGGTAAAGTGAATCACCATACTTCAACAATTTCACATAATCATTAGAAATCTTTCCAATAAGTTTCCTTGCAGTATTGACTTGACCAAGTGCAAGCTTGTAGTGGTCTTTGTTGTAGAGAACATGAAGGAGGTCACCATATAATGGGTGCACATCATCCAACCTGGGAAACTCATCAATGATTGTAGAGAGCTTCTCACGAAAATTCTGTTCAGTACATTTGACTTTTCGCATATAGAACTTCCGGAGGCTGGAAATGGCAGAACCCCTGTGGACTACGGTTGGGGTCTGTCGCTGGGTGCGAGATAGGATAATGTCAATGAAGTCCTTCCTATTTGGTACCACAGGCATCTTCTTGAAATTATATTGCACCATGTTTACTTATATTAGTCTGTCTGTCTACACAACAAAACAGAATCAAGTTAACATCTACCATTTATCTTTGGATTGAAACATGAAGGTACCATAAAATACACTAAAAGTACCAAACCCAAGTACCCAAACGAAATCAAACATAATTCAACATTAAAACATCTAGTATCTTCATTCACTACTTTAAAAAACACAATTCACTTGTCAACCAAAACTTGTATTAGCTGCACCAACTGTAACACCACAGACAAAAATGCATAAATCATCAAGACTACAGTCTGTCTGCTTTAAAAATATTTGAGGACAGGATATAGGAGCCTCAAAGAGGGTTTGAAGAAGACCTTACAAGTACAACTTTGGAGAGGGCTTCGGAATAGAGTGCATGAAAATTCAGAGACTCAAAGAGGAGCGGCAGCTTAGCGCGTGTAAAAGGTTTTCGAGGTGACAATCATACGTAACGTCGTGTAATATGTATATTTATTTATTAGGGCTCGTCAATGGGTGGGGCTGGGCCGGGCATTTTCAGACTTGAGGAAATAAACAGCGGGGTCGAGCCGGCCCATGGGCTGGGCTTTCACGGGCCTAAATGGGCTAACGGAAAAGGAAATAAATCATTCACAAAAAAATATGATTTTCATCCAAAGTCTGAAACATACATCTAAAATCCAAGTCTCATACAGAATCATAACCTTCCAACTAAAATCCAAGTCTCATACAGAATATCATAGCCTTCCAAAATCAAAGTTTAATACAAAATTAAAATTAAAATTAAAATTAAAGTCTTCCAAACAAAACGTGTTCAATTACATATCATTTCAACTATAACTTGTCAAATTTTCATTAGATTCTCTCTCAACATTTTCACTGATTGTCATCCAATTTGATCTTGATGTTCTAATGTTCATTAATTCTTCAGCGCCTTGCTCATCTTGTGTTGCATCTTGCATGCTTGAATTGGCTAAGACCCAATATTTCAAGCAAATTAATGATTCTATTGTATTTGGACTCAAATTGGACCTCTTCTCGAATATAATTCTACCACCTCACTAAAACA